GTGAAAAAAATACTAAAATTACATTTTTAATCTAAGTACGAGAGTGCCATTTCCTGTTATCTTGAGGTTCCAAAGCCATAAAAGTTTGTACCTCAGCCCAAACTATGGTGTGGCTGAGGTGGTCTGCTCTGGACCCTCCTTATGTAGAAGTCCCTTTCTGAACCCTCTTTGCCTTAAATTCCTGGGTCCATCACTGAGACATGATGAAAACCTAAACAACGTGTTTATATGTGAAGATCATTAACTGTCCTAGACAAAGTTTAGGGACTGCAACTCAGTCTATTACCATCCCTAAATTGTAACATTGCTAATTATTTTAGTAAAATTATAATACCTGTCTCTTATACACATCTAGATGTGTATAAGAGACAGTTGCAGTTCGTCCAACCATGTATGGAGGTAATATTTAGACGCACCTTCACAACAGAAGTGTGCCACATAGAAAGTTATTTCAGATGTGCACTTTAAATTAGCATTCTAATAATGATACTGTATTGTAACACTAGGTTGAATTTTTTTTTGCATATTCTTTTCAACATCATGATTACAGATGAGCTTAATACTTTTGTTATTTATTAAGAGAGGAGTTGATAATCATCCTGTAGTAGTGTTCTCAGAGGATGGAGAGCTGAAACGAGTGTTTACTTTCGACACCTCTGTTGTCAGTATGATCCATGGACTACGAGTATTCCACAATGTTTCATCCGGTCATACAAGTGTATGGGTCACAGATGTTGGAAATGGTAATTTGAATGCGTGTATTTTTAAATGTTGACTAACCTTATTTAAACTTTAAAACTTAGGAATATTGGGCCAGCCATATATACACCAGACAGGAGTGGTATCAAAGGCACCAGACTGACTAATACCCGATTCACACGTACAAAAATCTTACCAAATGTAACAAAATGTAACCAAAAGTAACATTTTACGGCACGTGGGAAAGTACCTCTGTGTAATATCCTTGTAAAATCTCGGAACGTCTCGGTAATCTTTACCAGCCTCACTGAGGCTGGTAAAGCTCCCGAGATGTAGCATGGATGGATCTGCGCATGCGCAGGGATTTCAACACAACAACAATCTGCAGTACTGTGTTTCACGGGGTTCTTTGAATTTTCTTCCTTCTGCAGACGATTCTGATCCACTAGAAATAGATAGGCCTAGTTTTTCTCAATGATGAATGCATTACCCTTGTTATTGAATGATGAATGAATTACCCTTGTTATTGATGTTAATTAGTAATGGTAGAAGAAGAAGATATACATAAAATGAACGTCGGGATGGTGTTAGTACTATTACTAGTATTATCAAGAGTCGACAGAAACGTTGGAAGCTATGCCTAGCTTAGTAGTAGTAGTAGTTTACAGCAGTTGTTAAGGGCATTGATTGCTTCGAATGTTTACAGTGATGGTGAGTTCTTCAGCAGTCCATCTGTGACAGGGGTTCTCAACTAGGCCTAGGCTAGACCTATATCGCAGTAGGGGAAAAATGATTCATTGAATAAACACTGAGTAAATTTTACTCGACCTTGGCATTACCTTACAGACGCGTGTGAATGCTTTTTATCTCGGTAGGAATAACTCGGGAGATCGCTCGGTTACAATTTGTTACTTTTTGTTAAATTTAACTTCACGTGTGAATCGGGTATAAGATGCTCCAAATTCTTTAAAACTAAAAGAAAAAAAAAAAAAGTAAAAAAAAAAAAACGTGAAAAAAATACTAAAATTACATTTTTAATTTAAGTACGAGAGTGCCATTTCCTGTCATCTTGAGGTTCCAAAGCCATAAAAGTTTGTACCTCAGCCCAAACTATGGTGTGGCTGAGGTGGTCTACTCTGGACCCTCCATATGTAAAAGTCCCTTTCTGAACCCTCTTTGCCTTAAATTCCTGGGTCCATCACTGAGACATGATGAAAACCTAAACAACGTGTTTATATGTGAAGATCATTGACTGTCCTAGACAAAGTTTAGGGACTGCAACTCAGTCTATGACCGTCCCTAAATTGTAACATTGCTAATTATTTTAGTAAAATTATAATACTGAATAAATTAAGATAACACTGCCTATTGATTTTATTTTCAGCTACATATGGACACACAGTAAAGAAGATTTCAACAGATGGTAAACTGGAGCTTGTCCTTGGAACGGCAGGAATAGCAGGATCAAGCTTGAGCCCTGTGCAGTTCGGCAATGTTGCGGATCTTGCTTTCAGTGAAAAGGGAGAGATGTATGTGGTAGACGGAGATGGTGGGGTTAACAACAGGCTGTTGAAGTTATCTCAAGGTAAATATAAAAAATTACAGGTAATAAATTTCTTTGACTAACATCAAGCCCAACAAAATATAATAGTGTTGCCCAAGCACTGTGATATTTTTTTTAATTATGGTCATTGGTCAAGACTATTTTTTTTTTTTAATACAATATAGGCCTAATTATTCATGATAACAATCACTCACTTCATAATTTTGGTAAAATGGTAACAACATGGCTAAATTTCATGAGTAAGGTATTCTCTGTACAGATTATCAAATTTACTTTTGACAAAAAAATTGAGTATGCCCATATATAGTCAAAATGTGCGTATATATAGCCATGATATGATGGACCATACTTAGGCATAACTTTAGTCGAGCTTCGAACTAGAACTTCATTTAGTGCTTGTTCCAACTTCAATTTTGATTTGTATTCACAAACAATATAGTCGAAATTTTAACTAGGACTAAATCAAGTCTTAATTTTAGTTCAACTGACGATGACTGGCAAACCACAACTATCAAACTAACCACTGCAAAGGGCTAACTTAAATAGCAGACGAAATTTTAGAGATCCGGTAACGCGGATGAATATTAAGCTGCCGTCTGTGGTTCAAAAACGTATTTCCTCATATTATTCAGAATAGAACATTATTTGCTTAATTAATTTTTTATAATGATAACTATATTAGTTGTTAACATATTACGATAGAGAATTTGAACAGTCACTGAAAATTTGCTTTCTTTGGAGAACTATTATAGTTGGGCCCGAACGAAGGGGGCACCATCTTTGTTGTTGTTATGGTGAAGCTACGTGACTGCAATGAGATGGGATTTCATGCAAATCAGGATCTACCACATGGGGCTAGCAAAACATGTTAATTTCTCCTTCTGGAAGCTAAACTTGATGTGTCTTTTGTTTAACACACCGAAGATTTATCAAACCTGCGTATACAATTTTTTTATTCATTTAATTTTATTGTGAGTTATGAAAAACACGTTTTAAATGGGGTAAATATTTTAAGTCGATGATTTAGTCTGACCCAAGGCTGACTAAAAAATTCGGCCTGCGGAGGTATAATTTTAGTCGAGGTCGAAGTTAATTTTAAGAATACGAAATGACATAATTTTTAAGTTTTAGCTCGAACTACGACTAAAGTTTGTTTTAAGAGTACCGGGGTGAGAATTGAAACCAATGTCCATGAATTAAAAAAAATAACGAAGTATATCTCACATACGTATGTGTGACTGCTGCCAGTTAATACACAGTGTGTGTGGAGAATTAAAGTAGGTCTACTTTAGAAACTACAGTATTTAAAGGCAGGCAGGTGATCTGACTATAATTACTCTCTATTGAAACTGAGTTATACTTGTTATGCCCTATATACAGTATATTATATAGAACATATTATTCAACATTAGATAATACAGGACCAAGAGGAGAACCTATTGATACTCCATCACATTGCTTATAGTACTCATTATTACAAGAAAATACTGTTTTGGTGCAGGTATCCCTAAGTAATTTACGTAAAGTACAGAAGTTTTCTTAAGATTGGTGGTTATCAGTTTTTGATTATATATACTCTGTCAAGCACAATATTAATTACCTTAGTTAACGGAACATTTAGTAAAAAGTGATTCTACATCAAATGATACAAAACGATAACCGGCATGATAAAGGTGAGAGGGTATCTCCTTGATGCGATGAGCAGCGTCAAACGACCACCAATCTTAAGGAAACTACTCTACATAAATTACTTACGGATACCTGCACCAAAACAGTATTTTCTTGTAATAATGAGTACTATAAGCAATGTGATGGAGTATCAATGGGTTCTCCTGTTGGTCCTGTATTATCTAATATTATTATGACCGAACTAGAACAGACCATTACTCCTGATTTAGAACAATTAGGAATTATTAAGTTTTATACTCGGTTCATTGATATTATTCAACATGATTTGATTTTTTAGATTTCAAAGTTATGTGGCACGTTGGTGAAGCAAACAGCACCAAAGACGGCAACTTTGACGTACCTCACAGCGTGGAGTTGGATAACCACAATCGTGTGTGGGTTGCAGACCGCATGAATGGCAGGCTGCAAGCCTTTGATGCAGATACGGGCAAGTTTATTGGCAAATGGACAAGTTGTTTCTCTGTTGGGCAACCATACTCTGTCAGGTTAGTTAATTTTAAAGAGAATATATTTTGTGAGACTATATTCATCCCCTATGCCAGTTAAAGATAAAACATCCTTAATATGC